CAATTTGATGACACCTAATAATGACAAATATTGTCAAATATTGCTAAAAATTGCTGTTGTTAGGTGCTGTTGAGTAATCTAAAACCTATAGCAACCCTATAAACAGGACACTGGAACCTTGTCCTTTGCTTGATAGATACTAAAAACGAAGTATGTCTGAAATAAAAATAATTATATCTGCCAAATCTTCTCCAAATATCTGGAGCTCCCTTTTCCAGTTACACTTAAAAAATAACAACCAAATCATATGTCTCATGTTCATTTTTTACTTCTTTTTTCTGCCATCACCTTTATTTAATCAGTTACCAAGTTATATCCTTTTTCTGTCTAAAATAATTTTTAAATATAATTATTAAATCCTCCATCTATTCAAGAAATAATCTATTAGTTCCTATTATGTGTTATGGACTTCTAGGTATTTTGAGTGCCAAATTTAAAAAGACATAAACCCTTCTCTTAAAAAAGAGTCTAAGAAAGAGTTTTAAAGAGACTTTAAGTAAATCAGCAATTAATTAACAATTACAAAAAAAATAAATACAACTTGAGATATTCTTATTATCTTTCCACGTCTCCTCCACCTACCTCCCATAAGAGAGAATATCTCAATTAGACTTGAGAGGATAAGGGAAAGTTTCTCATGTAACATGTTGTGTTGATGAAGGTAGTCACAGAAGATGGGTCAAAGAACACGCATTAAGCTCTAAGAGCTAAACAAGAGCATTTATCTAATACTTGCCGAGTAAATAAATGTCCTCTGGTGACCTAATATGTAGAATTAAGCTGCTAACCCAAAGCGGGCAATTCAAATCCACCAGTTTCTCCTAGGGAGGAAGATAGGCAATCTCCTCCCATGCAATTTACAACTTCTGAAAACCTGCTGGAAGGTCAGCTATGAGTCACTTCTGATCTGATGGGAGGTAACAAAAGCCATAACAACATTTCAGATCTTTAATCTTCCTTGTCTAGTTTTTTCCTAGCTTGTTTCCTGCCTTCAGTATATTCTATCTCTAAGTAATTCTCCATTAAGGTTTAAAAACATGAACCACCCTTTTTCTACTTAAAATATCTTTGATAGCTTCTGGATGGATAAAATACAAACTATGTGACATGGTATTGATTATTTACCACTATTTTTTCCTCAAAGCTAAGTGGTGTAAAAACCTAGACTTTGAAATATTATCTGGGATATAATCCTGGCTATACCACTGGAAGGTGTATGACTTTGTGTAAATAACTTAGCCATGGAAGAATAGGTCATGAACAGCTATGACAACGAAGTATTTAGTGTAGCATTGACTAGACTCACTACCCCTCTTTTGGTTTGCTGCAGTAATGGCTTATGTGTAGCTGTGATGTTGGAAGATATGTAAATGCTATTTTAAATAGCAGCAGGTTACTTATGGCAGACAGGTTTTAAGAGAACTCCCAGACTAAGGCAGACTAATAAGAAAGACCTGGTTATTTAATTTTTTTTTTTAAATCAGAGAATTAGGGAGTGAAAAACCTTGTGAGTCGCAACAGAATATAGTTCAAAGTAGTACCAGAAGATGGCACAGAACTGGGTAATATTTGCTCTGTTATGCATAATGTTGCATGAATAGGAGTTCAATTGATGCCAATTAACAATAACAAGAGTAATAAATTCTATAGTACACTAAGAAATATAAATTCCCTGTTGCCGTACCAGTTCCTTCTTATAGTGGTCCTATAGAACACAGTAGAACTACCTCAAAGGGTTTCACAAACTATAAATCTTTAAAGAAACAGACTGATCTGCCTTTCTCCCATGGAGCTGCTAGTGACTTCGCACCACTGACTTTTAGTAATTAGCAATGGACTGATTTAACCACCGTGTTGCCAGGACTCCTTCTGTTGAGTCCACTACACCTCACAGTGATCCCATGTAAAATAAATTGAAGTCTGGCCCCATCCTAACCTACTACCTCTCCTGTGCTTAAGTCCATTTTTGCAGCTGTTGTGCCAATCTATCTTCTTGAGAGGGTCTTCCTGTCTTTCACTGACTCTACTTTTCCAAGCTTGATGCCCCTTTCTGACGATTGACCCATCCTGGTAAAGTGCCCAAATTATGTGAGAAATGTCTCACTATCATTGCTAGTAAGGAATACTCTGCCTGCACTTCATTAAGACAGATTTGTTTGCTCTTTTGACTTTCAGTGATATATTCAATGCTCTTTACCAACACTGTAATTTAAAAGCAACTATTCTTCTTTGCTCTTTTTTATTCCCTGCTCAACATTTCTAATATATAAAAAAGCAATTGAAAGTACCACAGCTTGGGTTAGGTACACCTTAGTCTTAACACTGACATCCTTGGTCTTTCATACTTTAAAGAGACCTTTGACATTCAATTTGTCCACTTTTCTTTTGATTTACTGACTGCACCTTCCTGGAGTATTAATTGTGAATCCAAGTACAATGAAATCCCCTGCAACTTCTTTTCCCCATTTATCATGATGTTGCCTATTAATCCAATTGTGGTGATTTTTGCTTTCTTGATGTTTTGGTGTAATCCCCGTTGAATACTACAGTCTTGGGTCTTCAATAAGTGCTTCATATTCTTTTCACTTTCTATAAGCAAAGTAGTGTCATCTGCATATCACAGACTGTTGATGAGTCTACCTCTAATCTTCAGGCCTCATTCTTTTTTATACAGTTCAGCTTCTTTGGGTATTTACTCTGCATAAAGATGAAATGTTATCGTTGTGTACTATCCAGTTGGAACCAGCCAACAGGTGACCCTCTAGTAGGTCAGAGGCACTTTTCAGAGGCTGTAAATTGCATGGGAGAATACTGTCTATCTTCCTCCGTCAGAACAGCTGGTGGATTCACACTGTATATCTTTGAGTTGGCAAAGCAATTCCTCACCACTAAACTATTTGTTGTTGTTAGGCACTGTCAAGTCAAGAACAACCAACTTGAATCTCGTCCTAACTGGGCCATTATCACCATCTCTAATGCAGTTGACACCAATGCTACAGTCACAATGTCAATCCATCTTGATAGGGATCTTCCTCTCTTTTGCTGACCTTTTCCCAGCATGATGTCCTTTTCCAAGGAATAGCCTCTCTTAGCAACATGTCCAAAGTATGAGAGATGAAGCTTTGCCTCCAAGAAGCACTCTGGCTGCACCTCTTATAAGACATACCTGTTTATTCTTTTGGCAGTCCATGGGATACTCAGTGCTCTTCTCCAACATCACACCTCAGGGGCATCAATTTTTCTATCATCCTTATTCATTGTCCAACTCGCAGATACATAGCAAGTAATTTGAAAGACTATGGTCTGAATCAGGTGCATCTTAGTCTTCAAACTGACATTGCTGCTCTTCAGTATCTTGAAAGCTCTCTTAAGGATGGACTGTTGTTGTTGTGTGCCTTCAAGTTGGAAGGCACTGACTCAGTGGGTTTTCAGAAGCAGTAAATTACACAGGAGACTGACCATCCTTCTACTGCAGAGGAGCTGGGGGATTCAAGCCTCACATTTTGGGGACTGCAGTGCAGCTTCCTACCTCTAAGCCAGAACAGCATCTTCAAAGACGGAAGAGATGTGGTAAAAGGATACAACTTTTCACATATCTTTTCTGACTTTAAACCCTGTCCTTGTTTTGTTTAAACAACTGCTTTCCAGTTAATGTACAGATTTCTTATGAGTACAACTAAGTGTCCTGGTATTTCTATTCTTCCAAATGCTATTAATAACTTGTTATGATATTGTTAATTATTTTTGCTATTATTTCAAAAGTGACTGGCTAGTCCATCTTCTTAGTCTACCTGAGTCTAGAAGCTCTTTTGACACTTACCTACCATGTGTAATTTTGCTGGTATTTCAAGTACCATTGGCATACCTTTTCCAATATAGCAAGCACAGTATGGCAAATGAACAGGCAAGTAGTGGTCTCTCATATATAGCTATTATTAATTTCTTTTCTAGTTTCTTTTCTTATCTATTATTTCTCCCTACTCTCAACATCTCCCATACTAATGACACTTCAGAATTTGTCAATCTTCCAAACTTCAGGATATCTCATCCTTTCCTGTATTTATTAACAATTTTATATTTGCTTACAATGCCCATTGTACACCAGTTTGGCAAGACAATATTAGTATTTAAACTTTTCCTGTGGATAATCTCCAATATACCTATCCAACATTAACAAAGAATGCTAAAAACTGTTCAGTTTCATGAGGTATTTTGTGCTATATAGTGGTTCTAGGGAGCACTGGTGGCCTAGTGGCAAGAAGCTGTGCTGCAATTCCAAAGGCATGTGGTTCACATCCACCAGCTGCTCCACTGGAGAAGGATGGACAATCTACTCCCTGCAATTAAATGACTCTGGAAACTTGCCAGAGGGTCTATGGACAGTTCCTACTCTACATAACTCAACAACAACAACAACAAACAACAGGGTTCTAGGACATCCCAGGGCTTTGCTTAAATCACTGGATACTTTACAGACCTTAAAGAGTTTTCAAAGTCAAGTAACTTCTGTTGAATTATAATTGACTCATAGCTGACACTACAGTCGGTTTTGAAGGATATAAATCACATGAGAGGAGACTTTCCACTTTATTGACTACAAAACTATGTGCTATGGCTTTTTAAGGATTTTTTTAAATAGCTGGTGAAAAATTCATTTTGAGTGAGTTATTTGCTTTGCAAGCATTGTTACTTTAATCTGAGTTCATAATACAAAAGTAAATTTCAATAATCTGATTTTAAGATAACAGATGCCTAATAAACAAAGAGTCTTTAAGGAATAACCAGACATATAGACATTTTGTTATTTATCTTGAAATAAACTACACGAAGTTTAGTAAATGTACCAGAAAAGGCTTAAAATATGCACAAATATTCTGATATTTTAAAAATTTCCCCACATTCATTGAGAATTGATATCAGAAAACTCAAGATATGATTCTTTCACAAAGCATGTTTTGTGTGGTTTTTTAAAAATTTATTTATTTAGTTTTTAATTTTACCTTTGGTCCTTCAGGGCCGTTTTGTCCAGGAATCCCAATATCTCCAGGAAAACCCTAAGGAATATACAAAAGTAGAGAGTTTACTAAGCAGAGAATTAATTTATCCTTGGAGAAAGGACATCATGCTTAGGAGGGTGGCGGGTCAGGGCAGGAGACGATGACCCTGGTTAAGATGGACTGACACAGTGACTGTGACAAGTGGGGGGCAGGTGTGTCAGAGACAGTGAGACTGGCTCAGGATAAAGCAGGATTCAGAGCTATTGTGTATAGGGCTGCTATGAGTCGTATTTGACTCGAGGGCACATAACAGCAGTGAAAATAAATGAAATAAAGCATGTTACCCTAATCTTCTGGGGCCTTGTGATATTGAAAAGACAAATGTTTGATTATGAGATATTTGGAAAAAGAAAAAAAGTCTCAACCAGTGTGGATTAGGAAAGAAATGCTCTAAAAATACCATTGTTGTCAAGTCCATTCGAAATGCTCCTTAAGATTTCAAAGACTGTCTTGGTGTTACAGAGCTTTGGCATGCTGGGCTGCTTATCCAAAGGTTAGTGGTTCAAATCCACCATCCTCTCTGAGAGAGAAAGAGGGCCAGTAAAGATTTACAGCCTTGGAAATCCAGTGGAGGATAATTATGAATGTGAATAAGTTTGACAGCATCAGGGCTTAAATTTTTATGTAAATAGACTACCGAGCCTTACTCTGATGTATTGACAATAAGTTTGAGAGTTCACTAGTAGTCCAAAACGGAATCATCTTGACTTTGTACTTTGTCCTACGTGATCCTATGCCTACTATTTAAATGAAGGTATCTTCACTGTCATTTTCCAAGCCAAAAAACCTGTACATGATGTTTGAGTGTGATTCTTTCATCCTTACCATCTCTTCCATTATTAAATCATCCACCAAACCTCATTCATCTTGTCTCTCTAATTCCCTGACAATATGAGCCACTTTTCTGCACCACTAATTTAGTAGGGTGCTCTGGTAGCCTAGCCTAGCGGTAAGAAGCTATACTGCCATTCCAAAGGCACATGGTTCAAATCCACCAGCTGCTCTACAAGAGAAAGATGTGCAATCGGTCCCTCTGCAATTAAACTGCCTCTGAAAACCCACTGGAGGGTCTGCTACGGGTTGGTTCTGACCCCAGAGCACACAATAACAATAATTTAGTCATTATCTCTAGTCTAACTTACTCTTCAAGCCTCCAAACTGCTCTTCTTGACTTTTATTTTTTTCATTCTCCATACAATGCCCTTTTCATTCTGTTGTCAGAAAGATGATTCTATATAAATTTGATAATGCTACACTGTTAATAGATATAAAATAAAATTAAAATTCCTTAACACTATGTCTATAGGAGTCTTCACAAACATGCTCTTCCTTTCTATATAGCATTCCAGTCCATTTAACTACCCTCAGCATTTTGAAAGAATACTCTTTCACAGATGAGATTTTGTACATAGTTTCTTTGCTTAGAATACTTTTCTTTCTTCTTATGAAACATTTCTGTGTTAAATGAAAAAAAAATGAATATTTGACTTGCAAATATTTTTCACCCCAACCTTGAGTCAGATCCTTTCTATGAACCTTTAAATTATCCTAGAGACCAACGCACTAATTTAATATAGGATTTTAACTTGTGTTGTTTTCCTCATAAGAATGTAAGCAAAACTTCTTAAAGTGGCTGTGTTGTGCTTTTGTAGGGAAGATAGACAGATTTGTAAACCCTGGAGCCAGATCCTGCCTGTTCGAAGTTGTTGCTTTGTGGAGGCCCTCGGGGTGAAGTTACAGTCACTATGTCTGATCAGGAGGTAAAACCTTCAACTGAGGACTTGAGGGGACAAGAAAGAAGAATACATCAAACTCAAAGTCATTGGACAGGAGAGCAGTGAGATTCACTTGAAGGGGAAAATGACAATACATCTCAAGAAAATCAAAGAATCATACTGTCAGAGACGGGGATTCCAATGAATTCACTCAGGTTTCTCTTTGACGGTCAAAAAATTGTCCACAATCACACTCCAAAAGAACTGGGAATGGAGGAAGATGTGGTTGAATTTTATCAGGAACAAACAGAGGGTAATTCCATAGTTTAGATAATCTTTTAATTTTCCCTTAATCCTTTTTTATTTTGAAAAATAGTTCTTTTGCAATGTGGTGTCAAACAGAATTGAAAACTGGCACATATCTTCAAACATCTGGTATTTTGATTTCTAGTGCTCATTATTCATTATTGTTTGTTTTAATTGTGCTGATTATATGGTGCACAAACCTCAGCCCCCTTCATATTGCCCTCTCTTCCTACAAATTACCTGTGTGCACAGAGAGGTGATCTTTTCCAGGACAGTGCATTTTCAGGCTTGTTGGGTAAATAAGATCAACCAAAGCAGGTGCTCAGAATGACTTTCCAATTGGCCCTGACGTTCTAATATACGTTTGCTTCACTCTTGGACTATGACTTAAAGTGGGAGATGCAAGTTTTTCAGAGCACTGAATTGCAGAAAAATAACCTTTCCTTAACTTGAAGCTACTTATGTGAGGGCCTGGACCAAAAGAAGAGGAATACCAGATTGGAGGTTGGAGTCAAGAGAGTAATGACCGAATTGGCTTCACTGAAGAAAAAACACATTTTAACATTAAAATTCTTGTTAGAAGATCCCGGGGGAAAAAAATCTAAATTACATTAACAGTTAATTTTTTACACAGAAGTGTGTACACCATAACACTGCTCTCTTTTGATTTTATTTGTACTTTTTGGCCTGGGATATGGGTTTTAAAAGGACATTGTACCAGCTTCATTAAAATAAACAAAATATTTAAAACATAAACAACCAACCCAACAAAAACATCTTGAAGCAATTTTACTTCTTATTCATTATGATTAATGACATGATAAATATTCAACATAATAAGGACTAAAAACAAACAATAACTGTTGTTTTATTATTGTTGTTGAATAAACGACTTGCTTGATTTCTTTAATGAAAGGTCCCTGGTTATAAACTCTAATCGTTTACAATCCCTGGTTCAGAGCATCACTGTGGGTAGATTAATAATTCTTGCTCATTGTCCACAGTAACTTTGGGCATTACCAGGAAGTGGAAATCTGTCAAAGTTATTAAAGTTCAGGTTATATTAAAATAACTTAGTGGAATTTGAGGGGATCCAAACAGTCAGATATGGAACAACATGAACGTCAGTAAATACAAGAATTGCAATAGATCAAAATATATCAAAACATTGAAATCAATATACATGATGGGGAGCTCTGGTGGCCTAATGGCAAGAAGCTGCAGTGTAATCCTGAAGGCACATAGTTTGAGGTCACCACCTGCTCCGTGGGAGAAGGATGTGCAGTCTCCTCTCATGTGATTAACTGTCTCTGAAAACCTGGAGGAGGGTGAGCTGCAGTTCCAACTCAATGGTACACAAAACAACAACAGGATTCTAATTATACTGACAAAACAAAAAAAAATAAAAATGTTTCTTGTTGAGAGGATCAAAAAGAATCAATTATTATCTTAAAAACGGGTAAAGAAGAATTTAATATGCCTTTCCTATATATGTTATGTTGTTGTTTGCCATTGAGTCTGGACCAACGCATAGCTGACCCTTTAGCAAGTTTTCAGAGATAGTTAATCACGTGGGAGGAGATTGCTCATCCTTCTCCCGTGGAGCAGCTGGTAGCCTCGAACCACATGCCTTTAGGATTGCAGCACAGCTTCTTGCCCCTAGGTCATCAGAGCTCCCTATGTATTAAAAAAAATTAAAATGTTATCTCGTTGACGCAGATTCTTGGTGACCTAATGTGTGTTACAGTAAATTATGTCCTACATAGTTTCCAGTGGCTGATTTTTCAGAAGTGATTTTCTTCCACGATTCCTCTGGGTAGACTTGAACTTCCAACATTTTGGTTAGCAGCTAGACATATCAACCATTTACACCACCCAGGAACTCCATGTACCATATCATTGTGAGGTGGAAAGTTGATTCTAATACATCCTGTTGTTGTTACATGATGTTAATTCTGACACATCAAAATCTATGTGCAACAGAATGAATCCTTGACCATCCTGTGCTATCCTTACAATCATAGCTGTGCTTAAATAAAATCTGTTGATGCAGTCACTTTCCCTGTTAGTTCATATCCCTGAGGGTGGCAATTTTTTTTACTGACCCTTTATTTTTCCAAGCATTATATCCTTCTCCAGGAACTGGGCCATCCTAGTAAATCATAACAACCCTATATGACACAGTGGGTAAGCAATAAACTACCAAGCAAATGGTTAATAGCAGAAAAACTCACCAACTGTCAGATAGAAGAAAAGATTTGGCCGTCTACTCTCATAAAGATTATAGCTGAGGAAATCCTATGAGGCAGTTGTCCTCTGTCATATAGGGTTGCTATGTACTTGGTTACTAATAACCAAACAGGAAATGAGGAAACTCAAAACAATAAATAAATAAAAAAGTAATGAGAGAATAAGAACATGAGAATTTTGCAACCCTCTAAATGATCTCATGGATTTAGGGATTACATATTAACTCTTGTTAGCAGTGCCAAAAAAGGGATCATTTGAGATTACATGTCTTCTGATGAAAGGATAAACCCCACCAACAATTTTGTGAAGAAATAAATTTGTTTAAGCCTCTTTATGTAAACACTAATTTGCAGAAACACATATAGTAAAGAAATATGTGAAATTATATTATGACAACATAATTAGGAAAATTCCCATTATGGGGAACTCTGACAGTCAAATGACTGGACTGTCCAACAACCGAACTATAAAGCAGGTAAAGAGAATGAAAAGAGAAATGGGAGAATAAAAGATGGAAAAGGAAATAAAATTAGGGAAGGCTATGAGGCTCTATCTCACATACTTTGGGCATGTGGCCAGGAGTGACCAGTCCTTGGAGAAGAATATCATGCTTAGAAGGGTGGAGAGACAGCACAGGAGAGGAAGACCCCAGACGAGCTGTATTGACAGGGTAACTGGGTTAATGAGGGTAGGTGTGTTAGAGATAATGAGATTGGCTCAGGATAG